GATAACGAAAAAAAATAGAAGTTACACTTCTATACTGATGAATGTGAATTTTAAAAAAAACAGTTGATCATTCCTGAAGATAAAAGAAATACTCATTTTATTCTCTTATGTTAGAAATATGCCCCACCCTAGATGTCAACATTCACTTTGATACACACAAACACGCGAGTAAATACGCTTTAGGAGAGTAGATAATTTATACATACATAAATTATATCTATATTTTTGTAAAGAAAAATTTTGTCAGGTACATGTGTTTTATGACCTCTTTTCCCCCTAAAATAAAAGACGAATTTGTGATCAGCTAGTGGAAATCACCAGTTGATTGGTTTCTTTTTCTAATTTTACCATAAAAATTGAATATATATTTTCTCCGTTGACTTACTCTCCTATTTAATGGCTCCCACTTACTTATTTTAAAAAGATTATTATCACTTTTAGGATACATACGAAAATTGACAAATGTTTTATGGTATTATTATGCTAACCCATCTAACTATCTACCTACTTACTTACATGTCAATGGTTTTTCTTTTTTAACTATTTTGCACGCCTGTCTATCAAAGAATACTTATCATTGAATGGATTAGCTTGTCTAATACTTAAAATTTTCTCATGAATGATTTAATATTAAAAGCTACATTTTTTCAAGCTAAAATTCTGTGACCCAAGAAAATGTAACGTCTACACATAATTTTTACATAATTCTGCGAATGTACTGAAAAAAGAGGGGAAGTTCATTTATGATTAATGTGCACCGTAAGTAATATGTTATTACATAGTACTGGTTAAATTAAGTTAGTGCTACTCGTGAATGCAATTAAATTATAGTGTTCATTTATTATGAAGTAAAGTAAACTCAACTGTTAGCGACGGATAACTATTTCCTTAATTAATAATAACACCCTTAAGCAAATCTATGTGTTTGTGATGTACACCATTACTAAACCCATGTTAGTTAAGTTCATAAGCAGATAATTTCACATAACGCATCCACGATTCCGCCTCGCGAGATTGCAACACAGGACCTATCAGTATCGTGCGCGAACACTCAGTTTCTACACCACTGAGCCGTCATCCAAACGTGTTAATGTCTAACTTCAACAAATTAATGAAATTGAGCCACCGTCCACTATTGTCCTCAGTGAGTTAATATCTCACAAGAAACCCGATTGTACTGCACTGGTCATTGTTTCTCACTAGAACTCCAGGAAACACTTCTTGAAGCCAGTCACTAGTGGGCATATGATGATTATTATCAGAAGGGGTTTTGTAGTGATTTTAGTAATTTTACGGTTGAATTCATGAGCCAATTGAAATTCGTTATCATTTTTCCTTGAAAACCTACATGATATTTCGATCATGATAACACATGTTTCAGGTTGTTGAAGTTTATGCTGCAGACCACCTCCTAAACATCTAACATTTGAACATGGTGCACTCAATACAGAATCACGTGGACGAATGACCAAATTAAACTGTAATTGATAGGATCTGGTCAACGTTGAAAGACCAGACAAACGTGATAATTGCCACTATTCAGTTATCTATCGCTTGTAACATTCTTTATTTTTGATTGATTGGAAGTGACTATTATTCCACTGAAGGCAAAACCAACTTATTGACTGACGTCTAGATTGTAGATTGCCGGTCTACTGTTGTGATCATTTTCCAACCAGAAGGCTTTGGGTTGAATTTTGTGTACAGTCGCTGAAGTCCACTTTTGGAAGGCTCCAAACTAGAAACGAATGACTGCAGTTGATATCAGTTCGTGATTAGAATTATCTTAAGAAACGGCATTTGGATGATAGGCAGTCATGGATTCTCACTACCCTAGTGAATGGAGTTTTATTATTTGGATCGATAAGTAATTAGTTTACTATAAGTGCCAATTTTAATACAGGTAAATTCTTATTGTTTATGTCCGCTTGAATTAAGTTTTTTAAGTATCGTCATGACAAATCACATTCTTGATCCAATAATTTTTATGGTTCATTCTCTTTATTGTGAATAAAATGATTTTTGCCAAGGTTAAGAGATTATATTATTTTAACTGTGCACCTAAGTCTAAATAAACAGTTTCACTTTAGATATCTATTTTCCATGTTCGATAATGAATGGTCTAGCTTCGGATTATTCGATAAAAATAAGTTTGAAAAGTAAATATACCTTGTCGACTAAGTGTCAGCTAGTTGACAACTCTAGTTTTTGGCTAATTACTATGGATAACTAATCATTAAATCGTAAAAACACGGCTCATAGAATTATGGAGTCAAATGCAAGTTAGGTTTTTGTTAACTACAAGGACTGAATAACCATTTATTCTCATAATAAAAATGCAAATAACTTAATTTTATAGGCAGGATTGGTCTTCCACAAAGTACAAAGTGATGCATTAATCGTTTAGTTGTAACCATCAAAACTGAACATTTATCATAGCATATCTTCATATTTAGATCACATATAAAGCTAAAAATGTCAAGATATAACGAAGGGGAATAATATAAAACTTTTATAGAAATATATATGTAATTTGATGGAATTTCTAGTTTATCATGTCAAAATCTAATTACTTTTTTTAAAAGGATAGTTTAAGCAAAGTTTCAGTGAATTTGTTAGATTTTAAATAGACTTCACCTATTACTTTGAAACGTTAACAACCTGAAAATCAATTTGATTGGAGTGAACTATTGACCGGCTAGCTTATTCTTGGACAAGACTTACCAACAGTATTTAGGTTAAACGATTATACGGAATCATGTATTGGATAATCTAGAAAAGAATTATATTGTTTAATTTATTCATTTCACTAATGATATTATAAGATTCATCTTATGACGAAAATATACATGATTAATTTGACAAAACATAGAACTTAATTTTTATTCCAGTTACATTCAATGATAAAGTTGACCAGTTATTCAGTAAGCCATCACTTTTCCCTTATCAAAAGTTTTAAACCAGTAGCTTTGAAGTTGAAGCTCATCAAAACTATAAATCCGTTTCTGTGGCGCCTATTAACTAAACTGTTCATGGTAATCAGTATAATCACTATGTACATTATCCAGCATCCTTCAACGAGAATTCCTATGTTAAAAACACCAATGTTTCACATTTAAGTAACTACATTACAGATATACTTGAAAATATTTAATAGAACACTGATTTATCGGATTACATGTTATTTTGTATCGTTTAAGACTATTTTACAAAGTCCCTTCATTGTCTTTTTTCTTTTTCAAATAACTAATGGTTTAATTAAAATTTATTTCAATAATTATTCAAATATTATACAGATAAGTACAGGTATGGAAAAAAGCATAATATTTACAAATCATTATAGTTATTCTTCATTTATGTACATGAAAGTAATCAGATCTTAGTATATTGTTAATCATTAGACGGGGAGGGTAGAATAATCTTTCCCTATATATTATTTGTATCATCAAAGTTTATATTGACAATATAGAGAGAACAGTATTAGATTTGAGTATTGAAACAGATAATAATTGAATATGTAATGAGTAATAGACTATCTTATTTGATTGTTATCATATTGATCTTGTCATCATTATACTACTGATAATTATAACAATCACTTTTCAATAATTAACATTTTGAAAGACATTTATTTAATTTGTACATATTGAGACGCCACATCACATTCCGTGAAGAAATGAAGCCAGTTGATTACCTAAGAAAAACCTGAAAACAGAAAGAAATAGAAAATAACTTTACATTGGAATATTTTCATTAACTTATCTAATTAAATCACCTATTGTTCAGCTAATAAAAAGGGAAGATTCTTTTAAATTGGGAAAAAATTTCCTTGTATCAGAATGTGTTCAATTTAACCAATTTACTTTAGTTCTAGAGGGTAAATGAATTCAGCAATGGTAAAAATTAATTCAATAGAATTATATGGATGGTAGTTACCTGAGTGAGAATAAATTGCAAGCACTACTTCAGTTCATATTTCTCTATAAATTTAAGTTTTAGAATTTTAATGAAAATCAGATAACTTAATTGCCGATTAGGTTATTTGTCAAGATTTATGTAGACAAATTTATTTGCTCATACACAATGGTTGGTCAGAGTTATATGAAGTCAGTGATAAAACAAAAGATAAATAAATTTCATAGTGAGGCCTTAGTTTCTCATGCTAATGAAATGCTACGGAAACAGATATCTTGAGATTATTTATGTTCCGAATGATATTTAATCAAATTCATCTTGTATCAAATAGTATAACTCGATTCTTCTCACTGGTCGGTGTTTTATTAATTTGAACCCAATTGTTGATAATCCGATTTATGAGAGTATTTTCCACGTGACCACACTATGTGCATCAATTCAAGTGATCGACTATTATTCACATTATCAGAAAATGTCTCAGTTTGCGACAAAGGTCTGTAACATTGGATAAACCACTTAGTAACCAACTTTGCCATTCAATTATTTGTGATTGATATTTATCTTCTCATAAAAATTCATAATGTAGGTTTTCACTTTTGACTGAATAATATATATTTATTGGTTTCCTAAACGTTACAAAACATATTTTTCTGTCTCATACAGTCTCATAGTAGCATAATTTTTTTATCTTTGTACTCGGCAATTTATACTACTTACAAGTAGTCAAATGAGTTGAACGGAAGTATTAAAATTTTGGGTGGATCGCAACTCACCCCAAATTGAATCGCTTGATAAATATCGTAACCTAAGTAAAAACAATACATTATGTACAATGTACACCATAAAACATCGTACTGGGTACACACATATTTAAATTGAATATGAGTTAAAAATTTTGAGTCGTAAATTTTGAGCAGATAGATTGTATCGGTTGTTTTCCCATTTTAGCTAATGTTTAGGATTAATAAACAGTCCATTTACTATATATTTGGTAACCATATCATTTAAAGAATTAAATTACGCAAAGCAAATAAAGTGAACTTACTTGTTGTCAATAGACTTTTAATATTTATATATCAAGAAAGTTACAATATTGTTTGTTTTGATAAATGTAGTTTCTCTGCCTGCTCACGCCATTTAGGAAGGATTTCTGAAAAATTTAAACAATAAATATTCTCAGTTAGTATCTGATCAGATAGTAAACTTCATAACTTATCATCTAAGTCTTTGTTTCTTACATAATTTCTACATACAGAAGTCTGTAATGAACAAATTCATCTTCATTTATAAAAAATAATTACAATCAAACAGTTCGGTAAATATATTTTAAGTAACATTTGTTATATTAGCTGATTAAATCCATCAATCACAAAACATTTCAGATGTTACTGCCCTTGTGAAAACATCTGTAACATGCTTTATACTTACCTAGTAACGTTGTTTGTCTATATTTCGTAATAGGATAGGCGATTTTCCCACTTTCTGGTGTTACATGTTCACGAATTCCATATTTTGTGTATGAATTAAAGGGTACTGATTCATTAACTAGTAGTTCCTGAAGTGAATTCACAGTTCTATATGAAATAATCGAATTTGATACATTTAATTTGTTTAATGCAGAAGTATTTAACGTCGTAAGTGAATATGATCGTTCCAAAACATGATTTAAAGGTGTATGTTTTACAGTGTGAGCAAGATTTTGAGGCCATTTTCTCACAGGTAAATTCCATGAGTTAATTTTGGTCGATATAAGTTTATTTTTCTTTGAATTCTCTACATTACTTTTCAATAAATTGCTATGTTGTGAGGCCAAAAGTTCATTTGTTCCCTTCTTCACTTTACTTGCTTTGGCATAACGTATTTGTTTTATTGGTGTTTGGAGCACTTGGGTACTGTCATGCTGATCTATTGAGACACAAGTATCTGAATGATATTGTTTGCCCAAATAAAACGATGGTATGTATTGATTTTTTGTACTTATCAGCTCCCATTGCCAGCGATCACATGAATTACTGCTCTTAGTATCATTGTTTTCAGCGATAACTGCCGGAGTTGATAAACATTTAGGTAAATTTTTCATTGTCCCGTTGAAGTGTGTATAATCAGATATGGGTGATGGCGTTTTCGACGCATAATTTGGTGTGAAACAGTTAATATTAATGTCATACATCCTTTGAAATCGCTCAGTCGATGACTTCATAGCGTTATCAGCTTCCTGTTGCCTTCTTTTGGTAAAAAGTGTTTTATCCATCGTACAATTGCTGGAACATGTGAATAACTGTCTAGCTGGAAAACTGATTTCTGAATCCATGACCATTTTGACGACAATAAACGAGTGTTAATTGTCGCGTGTCATATACCACCTGGTTATTTATACCAAAAGATAAGGATAAAAAAATAAGGGAATTGATAATTATAATATCCAGCCAATCAAAATTGAGTGGGGTTAGGTGTGATGCTTTTGTAATCATTCTATTGGATGAAATTTCTTACCGTACCGTCATGAATTTTCTAATGGTGAGAGTTCTTTTTATTTCGAGTAATATGACTGGTTAGAAAACCAGTGAATTTGTTACTTATGAAAAAATAATGATGATGAAAATGTTCATACAAGAAAGCGAATTTTTTAAACGCAGGGATGATGAATAAAGTGATCACCATAAGATTAAAATTATTCGACTAAGTTAAGAAGGCAACAAACAAACAATAGACTAACTTCTTTAATTTAAGTATTCCACATCAAAAATAAACATCTTTATGATTAATATAGGGGGGTTTGCGATTATTGTTGAATTTTCACTATTTGGGTCACGGAAACCAAGAAAATTTTAAATTGTTGTGATGAAAGCTAACTGTGATTACTGAATAATTTAATAAAGCAACATTGGAAATTAACTTATAAGTGCGGACTGTTAGTTCCTTGATCAGTTATCTAAGTGTGTCAGACTTGTTAAGTTACCTGAAGGTCATAGGTGTGATCTCGTGTACGATTATAATTAGAAATCAGTTAAGTAATCCCAAGTAGAGGATATTAAGACGATTATTGTTTGTTTGTTCACACTCAGTGATAAATTTTGAAGATGAAACTACATTTATTTTGAAAAATAGTGATTGTTATAGGTGTTATCAAAATGCCTCGAAATATCTAGGTATACACATTTTTCGCCAAAATGTATGAAATACGGTAATATTTAAGAAAAAAGTTTCCCTGTCTGTAACCACTTTCAAAATTGAATCAATACTAGTGATATTGTGTTTACTGCAACGCATTGTTAGTAAAAAGGTAACCACTACATAAATCATTGACTTTTATATCTATTTCCAAGCAATAATAACCTGTCAGACCATTTTTGAAATTGTTCATATTCTTGAATGACGGGTTTAAAAATCACAAAGGGAAAGATGGAAAGATTTGTTTGAGAATGTGGTGGTGAGTTTAAGTGATAAATTTCAATCGCAGTTATTTTATTGTTATCCATTCAAATGGAACCAAAATGACTGTCTAGGTCTCTTAGGGCTAAACTAGTCCTCTGCCTACTCTTGATTCCTGATAAAAATTATTTCCAATTGATTTTGCTCGTATTCTCATGGAATGATTCAGTCATTTTTAAATGATTCTAGAAAAGACTATCAATTGTCAACAAAATGTTGGTTATACAAAGTTAGTCGAAGATTGATAACAAAACCTAATAGTATTGAATGTCTTTTTTAACTTCATAGGTTTGCAGAAATAATTAGAAATTTGTTTCATTTTGAAAAGCCCTGACATTTTAGTTAAACAAATGAAGGATCAGGATGCTTTTTAATTGTCTAAAGGAACTAACTGAAAAAATAAAAAAAATATAGAATAAATGCTTGTCAGTGCTAAAAATCAACAGGAAAGTTTGAAACCTTGATCATTTGACTTGGAATTCCGGTTAACAGTTGTCATGGTTATGAATTTTCTAATGTTTATGGATAACTTTTAATCATCAATATGAAGTACATAGTTTAATTCATATTTTTCATTGAATGTTTTCAATCATAAAATACATCATAGTTATTTATAATATTTATCGCTAGTTTAATTAGATTGTTTAATGAATAAATTACAAAGCATTCATATTGGTTTGATTTTAAATTAACCCACTTAGAATTAAGAAACGAGTAATCATATAACGCAACAATTATAATTCGTTTTAGTGTCTTTACTAGGAAGAAAGTCAATCCATTCCTATATATGTATATGTATACATAGCCTTGAAGTACATAACAGATTGATCTCAGGCATTCAGAGAAATAAACATCTTTAAACGTAATATGGTTCTCGTTCTTTTTACTGAACTAGTCACAAAACAGGTAATGATAAATAATCACTTAAAATACTTTGTTTTTTTTTTAAACAATAAATTGAATGCAAGTCAGCTAAACAAAGAAACTGATTCCATGTTAGATTTCTTTGAGGAGATCTAAATATATGTGTAAAATGAAATAGTCTGCTTCACAAACGTAAGCTAATTGGAAGATCTTTGAAAATCAAAAAACACTAAACAATCATCCATTCTAGTTCGCACAACTAAAGACTAAACAGTAAACACGAAACCCTATAACCTTTCAAATTGATACAATTAGTTGTGTTTAATTGCAAAACATTTTAGTTACTATCAATGAATAGGTAAATGGAATTCTATGAATTATGGCACAAGTAGACCCTTGTTAACGTTGAACAATATTAAATTGCATCAGCTTACCATTTTTGTGATATTAAATTACCATCGAATTATGGAAAAAAGAACACGTACATAATTTTTAGCAATATTTCAATAAAATTTAGTTAACCAAGTTGAATAAAATTTTGTTTCTATGGCAAATTTCATTCATTTTGACTTTGATATTTAGTAGATCGATGTTGGAAATGATGTCATCACAACAATGTATAACAGTAAACACATGCTAGTCTGTTATGTAACAATAAACTATGAATGAAGTTTATGGTAATGTTGATAACAGTTGTGTTCATGTTAAGTCAACTTGGTGTTTGTAAACTATATAATTTTAATAAACCGGTACTTTGATAAATAATTGAAAATAATACTCTTAATCTCTAATCAAATGTGAATATGAATATTAAACGGTACATCAATTTATCAAACTATGATACAGATGTTCCGTAATCATTTTTATCTTCGTGATTATCAAACATATATCTTATAACTATGATAATGGGTGTTGCTGACTGTAATTAAATTCATCTTATTGTGTCATTGTTCCAATAAATAACTCATTATTTTAACAAAAGATTATACTGGATCTAATAGAATATTTTGACTTCACAATGAAAATCACAGAAACCTGTTATGATGTGGATAAAGTCAAACTATTTAAGCCTTAACAACTAGACAGTTTTGTAACACAAAAAATGAAATAAAGAGAGCATATCTGTTTAGTTTATAACTGATACTCTCCCAGGTCCATATGTAGCTGAATTAAACTATTTAAGGGTTGAAGATATTTACTGGTATTATAAACAGACGAAGAATAGAGTAAATTTCTTAATCAATAAATCCTTGAAAGAAAAAACATTTAGTGAATGACAGTTAAAGGTATATTTGTTGATTATAAATAACTTAGGTAAAAGTGTAGTTCTAGTTTTGTTGGAACCGCAGACTGATAAAACTAACTTTGATTGCTTACATGATTTGGTAAACTGAAGTTAACAGCTTATTGACCAGCGCATTGCACTAAATATTGGGGCATTTCAATTGGTGACTAACAGATACACTTTATTTATGAGGATTTGCTTTTTTCTCTAACACTTAGTTACTATACTTTACAACATCCGAATAGGAGATTTAGTTCACCGCTAATCTATGAATAATAAATAGTTTTTAACAAAATTACCGACAGGGAGGTTTACTCAAACGTTTAAACTACCTGTTTTCCAACTGTGCAAATGTTATTACTGAGGTACTAAATGCTGAAAAAAAAGTGAATGAAGAACGCTGCAGTGGTTGGGATATTTCCCTCTTTGTTTATTACTCAAAAAAAGGATTAGTATATCCGAATGTATGCATTTTATAAATGATGAATAGAAAATGCAACTGTAGCATCTGAACTGGTAGGGAACTTTTTTAATTGGATTTAAATTTCATAAAATTTGGTTTCTTGAATTTATGTTAGATAGGACTTTGTTGCAATCATGAACAACCGGTGCTGAAAATTTCTCAAAGTAACAAATTTCTAATAATAAATAAAGCTATAATTATTATTGATATTAATGTGAAACAAGCCGATTTGTAGTACCAAAGTATTGTTGTTACCTTTATTTCTTTATGTGACATATCGTAAATCATTGGTAGTGTTTAATATTGCTGTAGTAGCTTATGAACTCGTGTGTATCATTCACAGTTTAATGTCTGTTTACGAAATCATTTATTTGTATCAGGAATTCGGAAAAAATTCAAACATTAACTTTATGTATTGTACTAGTCAATAGACTAGTTTTGCTTGAAAAAATAAAACATGACGTCCGAGATCATTGTTCCGTGTTACTTGTATATTCTCTATTTATAGCATAGTTTATGCTTCATCGGAAAGTTTAGAAGGAAATTAATTTAAACAAAGGAAATAAGAAGTTACAGTATTAACACCAGAGTCGCCTTATATGGGTCTCACTTTTATAGTTTTCAATAAATTATTTGAACATGTGATATAGTATATAAAAATAATTTTTAACTACTTGGCTATTGTGCTTTACAGTATAAATAATGATAATGAAATTATGATAATTTTATTGTTTTCAAGCGATGTGTTCAAGTGTATGTGATATTAATTAACTATTTACGAATCAAATGGTATACATTATAATATGCACTGGATTTTTAAACTTTGGCAAAAAGGAATGTAAAAACGTGTGTTAATCACGGTAAAACAGTTTTTCTACATCTAGATACTTAACACTGAATGACAAACATCAATAACAATAACAGTATACTCTTCTTTAACAAACTATAACTACTTATATACTTACACATTCTTTGAAAACTATCAATAATTTATGTAGTTTGATCACCAGGTTACTATCATGATAAGCGTTTAATTTACGTACTTAGTAATACTTTATTCTCCTTACAAACAACATACATTTTTCGTAGTAAAATTTAAAAAAGGAAAACACAATTCGAATTATCAGAAGGGGTTTTGTGGAGATTTTAGAAATTTCACTGATTGAAATCATGAGTCAATTAAAGCTAGACCACCATGGAAAACCTGGAAGCACTGAATGACCATTTGGTTCTATTGTAGGACTCCTCAATATTGTACATCCACGATTCTGCT